CATTGCATCAAAGTGCCTGTTAATGACCAACTATATGAGGAGAGGGACCATGCTTTTTATAAGCATGTTGTAACGGAACCTCTGGCACCCCGACCAGGTACCTTCCGCTGACGGATGCTCCTAGTGCTTTCCGAGGACTCCAAGCACTCTGCCTGACACCATAACCACTGCAGACCCCACAAACCGCCGCAGCTTGGTTGGGGTCTCGCCGTCTCCACCCACTCTGGACCCAGGACCAGGGTCCAGCTTCCAGCAGGTCGACCTCTCTCTAAATTCCAGAGAGCAGGAACAGGAACAAGCTCTTAGCAGAGCTTAGTGATTATACCCTGGGGAGTATAGTGATCATAGCAATCCCCAGAGTGTAGTTTCTCCCATCCCCCAAACATGAGCCGAAACTTCATGAAGGTACAAGATGATCTGTTTATTGGCACACAAAGAACCTTCTTTTATGCAGGTCCCCATGCAAGGGGACATCCCACAGGGTGGGACACACTACAAGCAATCACACAATGGTTACTTCCCACACATCTCCTCCCCTTAGCCTGAGAGGTAACCCAATTATCAATACATTTTAAAACACACTTTTTACCCAACTTTCATAACTCTAAAACCATACATCCAATATCAATAAAAGTCACATATTATTAATCAGAACATCCCAAATACAAACATACCCCAAAATCATGCAAATCCTTCCATTAATTCAAAAGTTAGTTAGAAGTCCTTTGTAACCAAAGGAAGCATGGCTTTTCCTGCCCAAACCAGTTCCCACTGGTCTGGCAGTGTTCTTGGGACAACTCCCTGCTGGAGAACAATAGAGCTGGGGGAGGGGAAACATAGAAACATAGAATGTGACGGCAGATAAGAACCATTCGGCCCATCTAGTCTGCCCAAAATTCAAAGGGGCAGAAAAAGTGTCTCAAAAGTTTCAGTATGTCCATACACTGTTTTTAAAGGGCCAACAGCGTACAATAAAAGTCCATAAGCCCAAATAATGTTTGTAAAGGGCCATATAACCCAGGGCCAAAGTCATGAGGCAGGAGGCTGGCAATCAGGCTCCTCCAAAAGCCGGAGGCAATGGGCAGCTTGTCACCTAACAATCCAGGGACAAAAGGCATTTCGTCACACATGTCCATACACGTATTACAATGCCAGGCTTTCAGTTTGTTACCACAAAGCAAAATGCAGTTGTGGATATAAACTCACGACGTATCGTAAGAAAAACAGTTTGAACACCAGACTGAGACTCGAGATCAGTGAACAGTGGACCAAAATAGATAAATGAAATCCTATCAATTAATATACTTTCAATTTATTTTCTTTAAATTACTTTATCCTCTGTATTAACTATGAAATATTAAAGTTAAAACAATAACATTTAAAAGCCAACTTTTAGTGTGCATAGGAATTACAAGGCCGTTCATAATGTGAGATAAAGAACAGCTTTTTTTTAAACCGAATAGTCTGTGAACACAAAATGACCTTGCGCTGAAAATTAACTTGCAGGGGAAAAAAAAACAAAAAACTTTTCTTCTTTTTTTTGTTTTTTTTTTGTTTGTTTTTTAGTAAATTAATTAATTAATTAATTAAACATAGTTAGAGCCTCCCTCAAAGGCCTGATGACTTTGCAAGAAACATGCCCTTAAATACTGGGTAAGTCTATTAAACAGTGACAGTGACATTGACAGTGACATAGCATTTTTACCCTGTATATTATGTTGTCACAGCTATAATGTGCAGTATTACAAACTATTCATAAGTGTTGTGCCAACTGTTCATTAAAAGCCTGTGGTCTAGTGAGCTATTTATTTATTTATTCTTTAAAGCTCTGACCTCAATCGGCAAAGCAATATTGTAAAGGTGTCCATTGCAATCTGATATCTATACTCAAAAATTCTGAATATGTTCAGAGATTTCTTGGGCAATAATAAATCCCCCAAAAACAACACCTTTGCATTTATGCTAAACCTGCCTGTTGTAAACGGATTCTGTATATTTCTTGACATAAGTACTTGTACTTGAATCTGTTTAACAAAGCTGTTAATATTGTGGTAAAAAAAATAAAATATATATATATATATAATATTATTTATTTATTTTTTAACATTGCTTAATTTTTAAAGATACTTGCATATTTAATTAAATTATGTCTAAATATTAAATTATGTCTTTAAGGCATAAAATATCTGCAAATTAAGATTATATACAAAAAATGCATATTCTGGATGTTCCACTGATTAATTTTCAATAATATATTTATTTATTTATTTATTTTTCTTAAGTCTGGAATCAGATTCACAATTTCAGCATTGTATGCTAATTACGTTGTACCTGGAACCTGAACTCAAAGTGCTTTGTTCACATTAAAATCATCTCTAATGATGAAGATCTCTCTCTGAGTCTGGGCTACAAATAGCTCATTAGATTCTTGATGTTTCAAGACGTGTGCCATGACAAAGTATTGTGTCTTCTCTTACGTATAAGAGGTTACCTAGATATTTATTATTGTATAGTTAAAGCTTCCAAGTACAAGTCCCTTCGTGGTCGCCAAATGTAAAATAAGGATTGTCTTGGAAGCAATAGTTTTGTCTTTTAGATATTTATTATATAAAAATATAAATATACACATATAAAATCCATTACAATAATTTATAGCAGAGTTTATAAATTAAATTACATGCTTGCAAATATCATTAATAGGTTAACATACCCTTCTGAACATGTCATCATGTCAGCCTCTCTGTCATTTTAAGATGGAACAGCGTCTGTCTCCAAGTCTCTCCTCTGTGTCTTAACATTTAAAAGTACACCTATTTATACCTTAGGTGTCTCCATCTTAGGGTCACCGCAGTTCATATATGAAAAAGAAACACTTCTTTTACTTTATTCATTTTAGGACCTCCTTTAATTTGGCAAACATACAAGGCCATAACTAAAGGGTGTATACGTCATGGAAATTTTCCTGACTTAGTTCAAAATGGCATCTTAAAGTCTGAATAGGTTATCTGTTGTAGATTTGGGGAAGTTACATTAACTTGGTGTTACCACAATATCAGGGCCGGCGCTACTTGTTAGGCGGACTAGGCAGCCACCTAGGGCACCCCTTGGGAAGCCGCGCCGCCAGGAGCCCCGGCCCCCCTCATGCTGCAGCCGCGCTCTGCAGAGATCCTCAGGCGGCTGCAGCTTTGCCCAGGCAGTGTGTCCATGAGGGCAGACAGCACCGCCCGGGCACAGCTTGAGGAGAGGGGCTGACAGGAGGGAAGAGCTCAGCGCACAGCACTCCCTCCTGTCACTCCCTCGCTGTAGCGTGGCCGAGCCCTGTATCATGGTCCGCGGGTACAGGGAGCATCTGTCTCCTGTACCTGGCCGGACTAACAGGAAGTACACACTGAGTGTTCACTTCCTTTTAGTCTGGCTGGGTACAGGAAACAAAAGCTCCCTGTACCCGCGGACCATGATACAGGGCTCGGCCACGCTACAACAGAGGTAGGGTAGTGGGGGGGAATTGACAGGAAAGGGGGGGGAGAATTGACAGGGAAAGGGGGATTGGAAGTGGGGGGTTTTGACAGGGAAGGGAATTGACAGGGAAGGGGGAATTGACATGGAGGGGGAGGGAACATGACAGGGAGGGGGAGGAATTGACAGGGGAAATTGACAGGGGGGGGTAATTGAAAGGGGGGGAAGGGGAGTTGACAGGGGGAATTGACAAGGGGGGAAGGGGGGGATAAATTGAAATGGAGGGTAGGGAATAAATTGAAAGGGGTGGGGAATAAATTGAAAGGGAGGAAAATTGAAAGGGATGGGCGATAAATTGACAGGGAGAGTAGGGGGAATAAATTGAAAGGGAGGGTGCAGAATAAATTGAAAGGGGGGAATAAATTGACAGGGGGGAATACATTGACAAGGAGGGGGAATAAATTGAAAGGGAGGGGGGAATAAATTGAAAGGGGGAAATAAATTGAAAGGGAGGGGAAGAGAGGGACAAGCAGGGGAGAAGAGAGTGACAAGGGAGGGGGGAGAGGGAAAAGGGGGGGAGGGGGGAGAAGAGATTGACATCCATCACACACACAATGCACCCCTTACACACAAAGACAATGCACCTCTTGCACACAGAAAAACACACAGTGCATTACACACACACACACACACACAGACACACACAAACACAAGCAATGCAACTCTTACACACAATGCATCCCTTACACACAGAAACACACAATGCACCCCTTACACACACTCAATGCACCCCTTACAGAAGCACACACTGCATCCCGTACATACACAGAAACACACCTTGCAGCCCTTACACATACAAACACAGATTCACACAATGCATTCCTTACACACATATCAGGACATCCCCCTACTCCACCCCCTGTGAACAAACTGATTGGTGGAACATGAAGGTGGACACTGGGACCCAGACCTTGAGCTGTGTAAAGGGCTTTAAAAAAATGGAGCTGCTTCCCGTTTTCCCAGAACATTCATTTTTGTGACCACAGTTACAAGCAGCCTCCAGAGAGCCTGTTCTACACCAGACCAGTGGAGCCAGACTGCAGCTAGAGCCCATCAGCATCCTCATCTGGTTGTAAGTAGGCAATCTAGTATATTATTCATGGCACTAATCTCTAGTCCCCAGAACCACTTCAGCTTAATGTAATGGTTCTGGTGTCCATAGCCTGTCCCTGCAAGCCTTTTAATGTAAACACGGCAGCACTGCAGTACTGGCGTTAGTTAACATGGCAGATCATATGGGTGGGGCATTGTGATGTCACATGGGGGTGGTGGCAAACTTTACTTTTGCCTAGGGCAGCAAAAATCCTTCCACCAGCCCTGCACAGTATATTGTGTACTGAAAGAGTCATAGCATAGCCTTGAAGCTTGTTTATGCATTATTGTTACTGTAATTCGTCTGGAACAAAATGGCGCAAACATATTATGCACTGAGTTTATTGCTTAAAGAAACAGTTATGAAAAACAATGTGTTCCATTTCTAACACCTTGTCAGTTTGCAATATCTCTTAAAGACAAAGTACACAGTTTAAGAAATACAAGATTTCATTCTAAAACTTGTAATATTTGCATTTGCCCATAACAAGGGTGCATGTGTGTATATGTCGTTGTGTATCTATGTGTGTGTATGTGTCCAGGGCCGGCCTTAGGCAAATAGGCGCCCTGTGCGAAAAGTCTTCACGGCGCCCCCCACCAAGTTGCCTGAATACAGTTACACACACAGGCACCAGGGACAGGTGTATCGCGAGGCAAACAAGGCATCTGCCTTGGGTGGCACTTTGCATGGGGCTGCAGAAAAAGCCACCCCCAAACCCCCAGGCAGATCCCTTGCTTGCCTCGCGTCCTGGGGGCTCAAGAGGTGGCCGGCTGGCCACTTCTGAGCCACCCGAGGCTGGCAGCGGACAGTGAAGGAGCATATTTACCTGAGCTCTTCATGCTCAGCTCCCTATACGCCACTTAATGAAGCCGGGAGCCGGAATATGATGTCAGTCCGGCTCCCGGCATCACTAAGCGTCGCCTACTTAGCTTGTGCGACCCCTGCCTGCCAACCCAGCAGCCACACTGGACTGCAGGTAAGAAATCCACTCCAACTATCCCAGGGAGGCTGGGTAGATTTAAAATAAAATTAAAAAAATATTAGTTTGTGAGTGTTAATGAAAATGTCTGTGTGTGTGTGTGTCTGTGAGTGTGTATTTCTAAGTGAATGTGAATGTGTGTGTGTGTCTGTATGTGTCTGTAAGTAAATGTGTGTGTCTGTAAGTGTTTATGTGTGTGTGTGTCTGTGAGTGAATGTGTGTGTCGGTCAGTGAGTGTGTATGTGTTGGTCAGTGAGTGTGTATGTGTCGGTTAGTGGGGGCGTGCATCTTTCAGTGAGTGTGTCAGTTTGTCAGTGAGAGTGTGCATCTGTCAGTGTGTGCCCAAGTAATGGTGTGTGTGTATGTCATTGTTTGTCAATGTGTATGAGAGTGTGTGTCTGTCAGTGAGTGTGCGTCTGTCAGTCAAAGTGCGGTCTTGACAGGAATGGGTGGGGGAAATATTAACTCTGTTACAGGCATGTACACACACACACTCAGTTAAAGGCAGTCACACATACAGGCACAGGCACACACAATGGCACAGCTACAGTGACACACAATTAGAGTCACACACAGAGTCACATACACAGACAGTCACACACACACACAGGCAGGCAGTCACACACAGACAGACAGTTACAGACAGACACAGGCAGGCAATCACACACACAGGCAGACAGTCACACTGGCAGTCACACATGCAGGCAGGCAGTCACACAGACAGGCAGTCACACACACAAATGCAGTCACTGTAGCGGAGAGATAGTTTCATCCACGGTATCTCCGCTGGGTAACAGGAACAGCATAAAATCATCCAGACAAAATAAGTACAGCATACAATAATCCCGGTAGAGCTGTACAAATTTTTCCTTCCCAAGAACTAAATGACACATAGGCTGGGAGTCAACTGAGGTTTTAATCACAGGTCACAGTATTTATGCAGTTCCCCATGCAAGAGGTTTTCTTACTGACATTACAGGGGTTGTACAGTAGGGGTCTACATTGGGAACTTAACAACCAAGATCTTTCTCCCATCATGCACTGCTGTACGAGAGGGATACTCCCAGCAGAATATCCAGTTAAGTAGATTATCCCTCCGTACAGCAGAACTGGCATTTCACATAAAAATATATAACTTTAACCTTATTCCTACTGTATTACCGAATGACCGTTCGGTAGATAGCTGGGGTCTGAGCGCACATATCGTGCAATTACCGCTCCATACCCAGCACATCTAGCCGAAGCCGCATGAATTACACTTTAATA